AAATGACTCTAAAACCCAAATGACGGGAGCAGGTAAGGTAAACACGATACGGTATTTTATTATGTTTTGGTCTTTTTAGTTGAATGCTAGATGAGGTTGCATCAACGATCTTACAGTCCCCAAGCATCTCTAGGGCCCTCTGACGCCCCCTAGACCGGCGAAAATATAGTGTAATTAGATTTAGGACGTTTTAAATAAAATTAACAAAATAAAACCGTTACAAGGTTTACTGATTTATTCAGATTGACCAAAGATTTAGTCTATTATTTGGCAGAAGAATTAAACATCCATTTACATCAACCACAAAGAAGTACTGCTATTCATCCAGTTTCGGCTATCCTTGCTACATTAGCATTTTATGCTACCGGTACTTATCAGCGACCACTGGGAGAAAATTACTTCCCAGGGGTAATTGGAGCGATTGATGGAACCGATGTATTAATAGAGAGACCTAAACAGGAAGAACATAATTACATTAACAGGAAAGGATTACATTCAATGAACGTTCAATTTGTAAGTGAATCAAAAATGATGTAGAATAATTTATTGAAGAATTTGTTTAAATGACTTTAGATTTGTGACTATGATTTGAACATCTTAAGCGTTAATGCACGTTATGCTGGGTCAAGTCATGATTCGTTTATTTGGAGAAATTCAGCAATACAAGTGGAACTACAAGGTTGCTTCGCTAATGGTGACAGACACTCTTGGTTGTTGGGTGATTCTGGATACCCTCAACAGCCATAGCTTATGGTGCCTTTTCAACACGTAGTGCCGGGAACACCTGAAGCTAGATGTAACGATCGACATAAAGCAACACGAAATTGCATTGAACGTCTTTTTGGAGTACTTAAGGGGCGATTTAGATGCATGCTAAAAGAAAGGATATTAAAATATAATCCTGTTAAAGTTGGAAAAATAGTAACAGCATGTGCAGTTTTACATAATATGTGTGTACGAGCACATCTTGAACTTCCGGCCCGTTTGTTTGCACATGAAGATGCTAATGATAATGTTTTTATAGAACTGGATGGAGGAGATAGGTGGGGAGTTAGACGGAATGAAGTCCGAAATGAACTAGTCAACAGGCATTTTTAGTCGTTATACATATATTTGTGAAAATTTAAAGATATCGAAATAAAAACATTATAAAAAAATAGAACTAATCAATAAACCCAACTATTACTAACTAATTAACTATTAAATTTATCAGAAAAAAATAACTGCTAAATAACATATTACTAGTTAAATATAAAGTTACAATTAATTTGAATTTTTTTGTTCAACTAGATATTGCAATAAATTTTCAAGCACAGTGACACCCCTCGCAATGTTATCGCTTACCCCCGCAATGTTAGCGTTTATATCTGTTAAAACTTTCATTGTCTCACGATGTTGGGTAACTAAAATATTATTTTCTTTGTCTTTAAAAGTTTCGTCAAATTTTTTTTTTTTAGTTGGTGGATCAAAAGATGACTTTTTCTTGGTTTGTAAAAAAGTTTCTTCCTCTGACGTAGAAGCTTAACTAGGCTGCTTATCAAACCTTTCTCCTTCAAGAAAGTTTTCTTCTTTTCCAGTAACTTCATTCTGATTTTTTGACAAAGGACTCATTTGTATAAGAGACGTTTTTTGGGGAATATTTTCTTGCCTATTTTCACGCAATCCAAATTCTTTCGTAATCTTATCGCCATCAACGCAGCTCCAGCCTTTTAAAGATATTAATCTTTCTTCCAATTCCGTTAAATGAATTTGTGATTGGGGTCCACCTCCAGTCTTATTTTTATGTTAATTTTTGAACATTTGACTTTTATCTTACACAGCCAATCCGTAAGTACACGTTGCCATTTTTCTACACTTTTTTCTCCAGCGCCCAACGAATTTAAAAAAGTAGTTAGTTCATCCCATTTTTGACAATATTTTTGTCGTGCATCTGGGTTAGCAAATGAATTTGTAAGTATTTCAGGATGCTTTTCAATAAAGTCAATCATCACACTTTGATGATTTTTGTTCATCCTTGGCCCTCGTTTTTTTTCAGCATCTGGAAGTAATTTTAAAATTATTATAGAATGCGTAAATTAGGTCATCCAGAATATACTTTTTTAATTCCGTTTTAGACTTTTTGATACTCTAAATTTTGTTTTGCCCTAATGAACAAAGTAACTTTGAAATGAGCTACTGAATTTTGGGAAGATACAAATCGGACCAAACAAGCCTTAAAGATTTTTAAATAAATTTAGTACTTACCTGTATTCATTATTAATTGAGTTAAAATATTTATTTCTTGAATTTTTAAACCAAAGAGTTAACACACGGTCAAACTTTTGCTGTCAGCCGAATTAACAACAAATATCGATCGGTTGACATGGTAGCAACGCATAGCGCACTTAATCAACATTACAGAGTTAGCATTTGAAAGTAGCGAAACTAATAACAAATTAGCGTATCGTAACAGTTGCTAAATAGGTTACAGAGTCCCAGTACAGCTCCTTGATGCCGTTCACTAGGTTCTGGAGTGATAACATCATCTCTTTGTAGAAGTTGTTTTCCGTCACTAATCGGTGAGTCATTTCTGGAGCACGTATTCGAACTTCGAACGCGAATGCGAACGCTGCCTCCGCGACCGACCTTCTCGGCGACGACGCTTTTCGTCAATTTCGGGAGTACGTGATTGACACCGTACTCGGTGTCTTTCATTCACAATTTATAATATTTAAACTTAACTTACACGTAACAGTTAAATTAACTCACACATTGCGGTTTAAAACTTACCTTAAACTTATGTATCTGTACACTTATTAATTTACACACAGTACGTTACGTGTGCCTTTCAACAGTATCTTCTCACACTTTTAAAATGTTCACTATTCACTACAAAATAGTTTTTGGCTCAATCGGCCACTTTGGCCACTTAGGCGGCAAGACGCACAGATCACCTATCCCACCGCTGCTCTGTAAGCACTCGCTTAATACCAAATTTAATAAAACACACTTTTGATAACAAAATCTATATTCATACCATTCAGACTTTACAATTTGATGGCTCAACTCATTCTGCCCAAAACCCTACATGGCCTCTCCCATTTTTAGTCGGAATGGTATGGCCATCTAATCCCGACTGTAAGCGATTTCGATTGAAACCTTTTATAATATGGAGCATAGCGAAATCGGAAACCGATCATATTTTATGTTTATTTTGGTAAAAACAAAGCAGTCGGGATTAGTTGACGATTCCGACTAAAAATGGGAGAGGCCATGTAGGGTTTTGGGCAGAATAAGTTGAGCCATCAAATTGTAAAGTCTGAATGATGTGAATATAGATTTTGTTATTAAAAGTGTGTTTTATTAAATTTGGTATTAAGCGAGTGCTTACAAACAGAAAAATAATAATACAGTATGATACTCAATACTCGAACAATATTAAAGTTTTCTAATACAAACAAAGAACAAAACGAAATGAACACATCAAGTAAAACCGAGATCTCCGAGCGTGAGAGACGAATGCCCATTTCTTCTTTCTCTACTTCTTTTCCGGTCCTCCTGGGCTGCCAATCTTTTCCGCTCGACTTTTGGGGGGGTGATTTAAATTTTAAATCAGGTCATCACAGACGCCCCCCAGAGTCTTCGGAGTGTTTTGAGCGATTGAAGACTCTCTTCTGGAAAGTCCGTTCCTTTTGGTTAAGACAGTTCCTTGACTTTTCGTGCGTGTCGATACTATCTGGGATGGTACACGAGGTATCAGGATCTACGTTGATAAAGTTTAAGATTTGTCATGTTATAATTGCCCTTTATTTTTCCCGTTGTAGGTTCCCTTAAAGTGTACACATTTACGTAAGGGTCATTGTCAATAATGTAAGACTCTCCCGGAGCAGAACCCAATCGCCTACTTTTAGGACGTCTCCGTTTCTTCCGGTTTGTTGATTTTTCTCTTCAGTCGTCTGTCATGCTTTTAATCGTACTTCATTCCGGCTAATCTGAACGTCTTTGGTTGGGAAGTTGGGAAGAACGGAATCGAACAAGGTTGAAAGAGGGTTCTTTCCCCAGAGGATCTCGAATGGTGGTGAATAGCCCGTTTTAATATGGGGACTGACATTGAAAAGTAACTCGATCTTTGGAAGGATCAAACTCCACCCAGGATGTCCGTGATTTATTTATTTATTTTTTATTTATTTACGGGAAACCCTATTATTACAAGTTATGAATACATAGTGTATACACTAGAAAACATAATATAAATACCTTACTTAACTTAATATAAATACCCTATCTAGCCTAAACTAATAAAATGATTTAATTAATTTCTTTTTCTACTTTGCGTTCGTACTAAGGTCCATTACGAAACTGTTTTGGGTTTCATAATGAACAAAAACAGTGCTATAAAAATTATACTAGAAAGAGGGAAATTTAGTCTTATAATGTTGGCGACCTAACCGTTTTTCCATTGAACTGTCAGTGTCAATCAGTCTAACGCAAATGAAATTATTCAAATACGAAATTTTTGCTGTTTGGTTTAATTAATCATTGCAAAAAATATTCAGAATGAACATGATTATAGTGGTGCTTACGCATACCTTTAGATCATAGGACAAAGTAAAATAAAAGGTACTTACTGTTACTTTTGAGACTTTTGTGGCTAGGTAGGTTTTGACGTCAACTTACTGAACAATATTGGCGTGATCTCACAGCGAGTAAACTGTTCATCGTATTTGCCGTCAAAGTCGTATTTCTAACGCCGTACATTGCAAAACGTCTTCGACACCTTCGAAATTCATTTTTACGAATAAAATAATGACGTTTCAAATTAATTTATTTTATAGCCACCTAGCCACCACGCAATGTCGCCAACTGCCGGAAAATTCCCTACATTCCAAAATTTTTATTTTTTTGTTAAAAAAAAGTGCAAAGTAGAAAAAATACTGTATGATATCTCGTTTATAAGGCATTTTGTCGCACTTACTGCTTTATGACACTCCTCGCTGCGCTCGTCGTGTCCTAAACACGTCCGTGCGACAAAATGCTTCTTATAAAACTCGTATCATAATATACTATTACAAAACTTTTAAATCTATTATAATTACATAAAAAAGGTCAAATTCCTCTTCGTTGTTCAGTAGGTTTGCATGGATCATCATACGTCTAACAGGGCTTTTAAATGTTATGTTGGTGCAGGAAGTTGAGATTCTAAATAAATTTTGACTCCTGATGGCAGTATATCCGAAACAAACGGCTCAACTCCTTTATGACATGTTCAGTGGGATCCGACTGCGGGTGCCTGACCGAAGATAATGAGGGTTGAATTTGGTGATTCTTCAAAGTGTCTTGCCAATGTCTAGATTGGACTTGGGTGCCAAGGTCACTTAACATTACCTTAATCGGAATGATACGATGGAAGTCCTCCACAATTTTTTTTTGCCGAAATATTCGCTTGAGTGCGACGTAAAGGATAGAGTTTCGAAAACTTAGAAAACGAATTAACAAAGGTATACGAAACTTTCATTCGACTTTCGGGGAGCGGGCCATAATAGTCCACGGTGACCAAATCACCTGGGTTCATCGCCACGATGGATGCCCTTTTTCGGGAAGACTTTCGATTAGGATGTTTGCACTTATAACAGAGATCACACGATTTTACGACCCACTCGATATTGGATCGCATCTTACTGAAATAAAAACTTCTTCGTATCAACGACCAAATTTTTGTGAGTCCGAAATGGCCAAAACTGTAATGCAATTTTTGGCTGGTTGTCGTGTGGGTGCAGAAAAATTAGGGTGTTTTGGTGTATTCTGAAATGTGCGAATAACCGGGGGTATCACTTGAGTTAGTACCAGAAAATTTTTCCCGAAAAATTGGACCCAGACATTTGTCCTCCAGCTGTAACTG